AACTCACAGAGATCTGCCTGGCTCTGCCTCCCGAGTGCTGGGATTAAAGGCATGCACCACCACCGCCTGGTTCACACTGTACTTTTATAGTTCAAACATGTTTACTAGCGGCAGGGTAAAATATAACAGGAGGAACCAAACTGAAGGCTTGGGAGAGAAGGGTGGGAAATGCTCACAGGAAAAGCCACATGCTGCTGCGGTAAATGGTAAGAAAAGGATGATCAGGGGTGATCCCTAGTCAGTTTTCTTTGGACCCTGGTCCGCTTCTGAGGTCCTGGAAATACCCGCGTTAGACCAAACTGTGTCCGTGCTTTAGGCAAGATCGTGAGAAAAGCAGCCACCGTGTGTTGCCGAGGCCCTTGCTTCCCCTTAACTTTCCTGACACGAGGTAACTGCTTTCTAGGAGGGATGCTATGAAGAATCAACTCTGTAGGACCGGGGCACTGCAGCTGCTAGCACACCCTAGCCAGCACCTGTACAGTGGGAACTGTAGTAACCACACAACAGTAACTGCAGTAGTTCATTTTGGCTCCATTAAAAAGACCACGTCACCCAAACAACAGACTGGTGTGATTTTTACGTGCTGTGAGTGAACCTCTTCTGCTTGGACTTTTAATCAGCTGTATTACTGTATGACTTATTGGGTTAGTTAACGTACTTACTGTCTCTGATTTCTTCCTTTCCCCCTTCATCCTGATTTACTCATTTATTTCACCTTACATATATTTCTTATAAAATTGTTTCAAATCCTTCTCACAGCCAAATAGGATATACATTCACATATACGTACAATTCGAGTAGAGTTATATACATAGAAAATAAATTATATGTATGTCTGTGTGTGGGTTTGTACATGAGTGCACTGCCTTCAGAGGCCAAAAGAGATCCCTTGAAACTCAAGTTACAGGTGGTTGCAAGCAAGCGAGATGGGTGCTGGGACCTTAACTTGGTCCCCTGTGAACAATGCCTGCTCTGAACTATTGAGCCATCTCCCCAGCTCCCACCCTCTCACTCCCACAGTGGGGTTTTCTCAGCCAATGTCTGCCTTCAGCCCTAGTGCATATGAAATACATTTCCATATATACCCCCCCCCGCAACTCAAGGATATTCCTAATGGATGCAACTACAAGCAGGACAGAAGAACAGTGAGTTTCAAGCCCCCAGATCTGCTGAAAACCCACGTGGCCTTCAGCAAACTTCTTAATTTCTTTCAATTAGTTTCAGGGGCTAGAGAGATGGCTCAGAGGTTAAGAGCATTGACTGTTCTTCCAGAGGTCCTGAGTTCAATTCCCAGCACCCACATGGTGGCTCACAACCATCTGTAATGAGATCCGATGCCCTCTTCTGGCCTGCAGGCAAATATACAGACAGCACACTGTATACATAATAAATAAATCTTAAAAAAGAATGTGGCAATCAACTTCTTTCAATTAGTTGATTCACCTGTTCAGTGACAGCTCCCAGGGCTGACTGCCGGAAGGACTGGAGACTCTATGAAGGACTACATATTCACTTAAACACACGTGCTAGTAATCATTGTTGGTCATCGGGTGCAGATCTTGGCTGTAAGTCCTTGTTTTCGGTTAACTTGAGATTCTGCCGAGTTCAACATCCCTGTAACTATGCCTGCAACTCTAGCTTTCCCAAGGCTGAGGCAGGATCATGAGTTCCAGGCCAGATTGCACACACAGTGCAATCCTGCTTTACAAAAACAATTATGATTTAAAAAATAGCTTGTGTATGCCTGCATGAGAGTGTGTGGGTGTACATGCCAGGATGTTCCTGTGGAGACTCAAACTCCAGTCATCAGGTTTGTGTGGCAAGTGCCTTTTCTCAGTGATTTTTCTTGTAAACTTTCAATTCAGCTTCTAGGCCTGCCTGAGATTTCTTTTTCAGTGACAAACTTCACATGAACTACCTGGCACACAAAACTTGATTTTTTTTCTCCCTTTGTAACCCGGTTCTTACCTGCAAAGACTTTCCCCATCCATCCCTGCCTGTTAAAATGTAACCATTTCCCAAGACTCACTTCAAAAGCCTCTTTCCTACTTTTTCACTTGTAACCAATCTTGTTTTCAAAAATCTACTCTGGTACATTGTTTAAAAGAATGTATTATTATGTGTGGGGCCTGGGTGACACAGCACACGTGTGTGGTGACTCTGGAGTCGGTGTCACCCGGGGTTCACGGACTCCGGCCGAGGAATGCCTTACCCCACTAAGTCACCCCTTTAGCCCGAGATTTTTGTTGTTGTTGTTGCTTTTCGAGGTTTCTCTGTAGCTTTGGAGCCTGTCCTGAACTCTCTCTGTAGACCAGGCTGGCCTTGAACTCAGAGACTGGCCAGCCTCTGCCTCCTTCAGATGAAAGTCGTGCACCACCACTGCCCAGCTGCCCAAGATTTTTAAAACTATTTTACCATTTGAGCTATTATCTGGTTTCTCTTCAGATCTTACTAATCTTTGACTTCTTAAGCATTTATTCTAGTTTTGTGTCTTTCTTGTTCCATCACCCAGGCTCTAACTGTTCAGCTTGTAGACTTATTTATTTTATTTTTGCATGCCTCAGGTAAACATGGACTATTACTTTGAACTACCCCACTAAGAATTCTGAGGTCATATAATACTTCTAGCTCAGTGATTTTTTTTTTTTTTTCCCTTCACATTTTGACACAAGGTCTCACTCAAGCCTGGAACTTACCACATAGCCTAGGTTAGCTTCAACTTTATATTACAGTCTTTCCGATCTTGGGGTTAAAGGCGAGTCAGCACACTCTTGCTAGATACTGGATTCTCAACCTGGCTTCAGTCTGTCCTGCTGTGACTTTATCACTGGTCGGAGTTAAAACAGACAAGAAGGCACCCCCGACACGGAAAACTTCCAGGCTAAAATGGAGCCTGGGAGAGAGAGGTGCATCGCTGAAGTCAGCCGGTTGCCGGTAGTCCACGGGCATCTCGGTGGGTAGGTTTTTCCTTCCCCGGCCTTTCGTCCCTCCGGAGGAGGTCTGGGCAGGTGCGCTTAAAAAGGAGTCCGGAGGAGTAGAAGGATGGGCTGGGACACTTGGCCTGCTTGGGATCAGAGGTGACCGTCAACACAAGTGACATAGGCAAGCGCATGACAACCGAACCACACTCGGACCCTTGCCGTTCCCTGGGGTGGGGGTGGGGGTGGGTGCAGGGCCCGGAGGGTTGACGTCCGCACCGGCCTCGGAGGTCCGGGGTGGAGACAAGAGTCGGCGACACCGAGGGA